TGAAGAACCCAATCAAGAGACTGGGTTACGTCTCACTGAGCAGAAGATGACTGAAGAACCCAATCAAGAATCTAGGCAGGAATTTGTGCCATACAATTCAGAACTATATTCTGAAAATGAAATTCCACTGCCTTCAATTTGTGATCAAGCAAACACAAATGGCTCATCTCAGCCTGTCTCTCCTGAAAGTTTTCTTGAACCTTCTGAAATAAAGAGTGAAAACAATAGAGGTTTACCAGGACAAGAAAAAGGAGTTGACCCAGCTATAGCACCAGTTTTGGAACCTATTGACAGAACAGTTCCAATGGTTGAAAACACAGGAATCAGTATTTTGGTAACTCACCAAGAGCCAATGATGGATGTCAACAGCTCTTATATATCAGAAGGCTTTTCTCCTGAGAGTCAGACAGATGCAGGAGGTTTGTTGGATAGGGCACATCCTTTTTCTCTGGAAAACTCTGCCACCATTCCAGGTACTTTGCTAGTCTCAGATGCTTGTCTGGATGTGAGTGAAGCTGCCCTTGATCGCAGCTTTAGCACATCGACAGGAACAATAGATGACATGAGTAAATTGACATTATCAGAAGGAAATCTCGAAATGTCAGTTGATGGAGATGCAGGCAAGCAAGATATCTGTTCTTCTGAAGCCTCATGGGGGGATTTTGAGTATGATGTCATGGGCCAAAATATTGATGAAGATTTAATAAAGGAACCTGAACACTTTTTATATGGTGGTGACCCTCCCTTGGAAGAAGATGCTCTGAAACAGTCGCTGACACCATTCACACCCCCCTTTGATTTGTCTTATCTCACAGAGCCTTCCCTTGGTAAGGAAATGACAGAAGCATCTGAGGTTCCAGAGGATGAGCCTCTACAGAGCAAAGCAGCAGAGATAGTGCTTTCTGCCCATCCTGACCAAAGAAGTACAGAAGACATTGCTGATACTAAGAACAGACAGTCTGGACACCAGCTGGTTGTGCTGCATATTCATGAAGACCCTGAGTCAGGTTCTTTGCCTGAAGAAGCAGACTCTGAATTGTCACCATCAAACATTGACTGGGAGGTAGAAACCGAGAACTCAGATTCGCCAGCAGGTGGAGACATAGAACTACGAAATGGTAAGAAAAAAAATCCCAATCCTCCAACCCCCCTACTGCCAAGAAACTACTGTTTTTATTACATTGATGAATTTGTAAAATGCACTCTCCCTGTTGCCTTGGGTAGGGAGGAACCAAATACATTTGCAATGGTTGCATTACAGCAGTGATACCTACTATCTACCTTCTTCCCACCCTATCTACAGTAATAGTGTAATGGTAGTAGAGAGTGCCTGTTTATTGCACTGTCCTGGTAGTGCATGAGAAAATAAAATAACTCCACCAAGTAGAAACATTTTTTATATTACTTCTTTTTGCATGGATCATTTTCAACGAACACAAATCAAATGTGTTAATTTAACTTTGTTCTCCTCTTCTTGCCTTTATCTTTCCCCTCGAGGTGCCAGCAAGAAAATATTACAGTTGGAAGAAGAAAAAATAATTCCTACCAAAGAACCTGAGCAGATAGAACCAGAATGTGGAGAAGAAAGACACACAGAGGAGAGTGAAGACCATCATGATCTACACATGGATTATATACTCGTAAACCATGAAGAAAATTTATCCCCTAAACCAGAGGCTGGTGAAGCAAAAGAAAGCACCTCTGAATTAGAAGAGTTTCATAGAGGATCTGAAGAAACAGAGTTGCCAGAAATTCAGTTAGAATGCTTCCCAGACTCAAGTCAGCTGAGCTACTTAAGTGAAAGCAACGATCACTCTGCAGAAATAATGTCTTCTACAAATGATAAGAGACCATCTCTAGAAAGCCCTGGAAAAGACCAGAGTTGGATGGTCTTGGGCCACAGTAAGATTGTCGATCCATCATCCAAAGCTAAGGACTCAGGTCCAGGAGAGGCTGGTGAGACTGTGGAGCCAGCCTCTGATCTCAGCTTGGACAAGGATTCCCAAATGCAGATTCTGGGAGAACTGAAGCCCCCAGAAGCTTTAGTGCTAGAGAAAGCCTCTGGTTTGGACAGCCAATCACGGAAAAGCAAGAGCCGAGGCAGGGCTGGCTCAGATGCAGTAATGTCACAGACTGTCACCCATGACAGTGAGTGGGAAATGCTGTCACCACAGCCTTTGCAGAAAAACATAATCCCTGAAATGGAAAGGGAGGAGGAGACAGAGTTTCTTGAGCCCAGAATAAGAAAACCAAAACCAAATGGGTAAGCAAAAAGCTGTCTATTTTTCTCCTGAAAACCATTTTGTTAGAAACCAAGGAAATAGTGAAGGACAGTGGAATAGGAAGAATACCTAGATGATAGGAGCTTTGCTTATATTTATTGCAAAGCTTATCATCAGTAAAAGCAGCTCTTAGAGAACCATAATGATAATGATGATTTGTATATATTTTCGGTCTGAAAAGTCCCTTCAGTTTCCATCCAGGGTGTCTACATACTACCAATCATGCAGAAAAAGTATTATAGTTTTACGTTACCACTTAATCTACTGCTCAGAATAAGGAGACTCTACAGCAGGCTCAGAATCTTAGTGTGAAACATCCATTCCTAATTGGCTGAAAAACTGGCAAACAGCAGTGACTGAATAATTCATTCATTCATCATTTTTTTTTTTTATTTATTTGGGCATACAGAACTGGGGTACAGGCCAGAGGCTCAGGGGCGGTGAGAGGCTTCACCAGAGACAGAGTGAGGAACAGAACAGGCAGATCGACAAAGTACACTGCTGAGGGGAGCAGCAGCGGGCCAGGAGAGGTCTGCCACGCCATGTGGTCACCTCCAGGGCAGGCGGGAATCAAACTCATGCGGAAGTGGCCTCAGAGTCTTAGGGCTGTGCCCTAACCCTCTGCACCACCAGGGAGGGCCTCATCATTTTATTTTTAAGAATATTCTCTTTGCCATGTTTCTGGACAGCCAATGGGCATATAATAAATAGGATATAATTTCTGCTCTCAAGCTTTCAGGCCCTGCTGAAACTGTTCAAAGTTGTACATCTCTCTTCATTTGCCCTGATAAAGCCCTCCTGCTTCCGCAGATAAAAGGGCATATTGTGAAGTTACAGAAGTCAAGGGAAGGAAACATATTCTGCCTTAAAATCTGGAAGTAGAAAAAAAGATGTCTTTTCCCTACTTGTTTTGGGAGTTTAAAGGATGTTTCATCCGATGTATCAGCTGTGAGTCAAGGAATCTGGAGTCTAGCCTGGCTCTACAGCTACCAGTTATGTATTGTAAGATTAACCCTAGCCAAAATTTCCTCATCCTCAAAATTAGTGGATTGGGCTGGAGAATTGCAGACCTTCTTGTGAACTTAATTTGTATGTAAATAGTAAATAGAATGTGTTCAGGGGAGCTTTGGCATTCACAAATTCTATTTCTCTATGAAAGGAACAGAGAAAATGGAAAGAATGTTGGGGAGACTGATGGTGTAGTAAGTCCATAAGGAGTTAAAAACTGTACTGTATCAAGTGCAGCATTATAAATCCAGACATTTTCATTTGCTCTAATCCTTCTCTCTTCCTGTCAAGCTATTTCCTTCCAGAGAGACCCCTTATCCGTTATCAGAAAGAGGAGCAGATGGATCCCAGCAACCCTGCTGGCATTGTTATAGATTGAGCTAAGGACTCAGGCAGCCTCGAGTTGGTTGAGCTATTGTTTGGCTTCTTGCCTGCATTTTGCACATGCCCCTGAAATCCAACAGATGATAGTGTCCAATTGTGTTGCTAGCACTTCCTCTTTCAGTAAGAATTCTTTGTTTTTCTCTTTCTACTCAGCTCTGCAGTAATAAAAATGATCTCACAAGTGGGGAGAACAGATTTTCCCACTGGTATTTGCATTACCCTTATGCATAAATAATTTACTCTAAATATATTTGAAGGTTTCCCTCTGTGCTAGATTTGAGAAAGATGATTCTCTGAGTGGGCCCTAGAACCCCAGCTTCAGCATCACCTGAGCACTGTTAGAAATGCAATTATCAGCCCCACTCCACACCTCCTATGCATGGGGTGGAGCCCAGCTTGAACTGGAGGAGGAGCCATCTATAGTTCAGTAGTCCTCCAAGTGATTTTCATATACCCTAAAGTTTGAAAACCACTAGGCTAAAATGTACTGCAGACTTTAGTAGTTTAGTTAGGAAGTGGAACATAAGAGAAAAGATATATAATAATATGATACTTAAATCAAGATAATTAATGGCCAGTGTCAGTTTAAATATAAATAGCTATCATTTTATGAGCACATGCCATAGACCAGGCACTGCATACACACCATCTCACATTACCATGGCAACTGTATGAGGTAAGAATTACGCAAGGGAGGAAATGGATATTCAGAGTGGTTGAATCACTTGCTGTGGTGCATAGTTAGAAAGAGAAACTAGATCAAAATATGTGTGCACTAATGCTGGTAAGTTAGGAAGACACCTGTGTTAGAGACACCTGTGTATAGTGCCTTTAGAGAGGAGGAACCAGTGATAGCTTAGGATCCAGCAGGCTCAGGAGCAGCTCCCAGAGCCCAGATGCTTTTAGGCAATCCTGAGGTTGAATTTTTTTTAAGATATATTTTTATGTATAAAACTTGGGTACAGGCCAGAGGCGGAGTGTAAGAGGATTCACCAGAGACAAAGTGGGGAGCAAAACGTCGATCTATCGAAATACCCTGCTCAGCAGGCAAGACATGAGAGGTCTACTGCACCATATGGGTTAACTCCCTGGCTGGCGATAGCTTGATAGCCTGAGATTAACACCTGTGCCACTAAGGAGGCCCTTGAATTTCTTTCAAAATCAAAAGGAAAAAAATGATTATGTTCTTATGTAGTTTATATTCCTTCATACCTATAAAGTTCTAAAATATTATTTTCCTAAAAAGAGGAAGGGGCCCATGAAGGCAAAAATGCCCGGGTCCACGGAAATCCACCCCCCCCATGTGATTTGTGCCTCTTTTATGGCCTTCCCATGTTCTGCCTCATGTTATACTTACTAGAGACTTTTTAAACCTACCTTAGCCACTCAAGGTCTGTGATTATGGCTTATACATCTTTATACCCCCCATGGCTTAAATAGCATGTATACATGTGAAGTTGTAACTTGAAATCAAGGGGGATAGCAAAGTCACTTAGATGAGTGAATCTGAGAAACTTTAGTAGAATATCTGGCTTCTTTTTACCATGTCAAGTCATTTAGAGTTTATAAATAACACAGGCCTATAATTTTCCTCATCTCATGTTCTATTTTGAAATTAAGATTAAATTTGCACTACAACACAAAGGACACATCACACTTTTTTCTGTTCTTTAATTTATATAATCCAGGAGTCATTTAATACATGAGATATTTTTTATTATATAGACATAGAATCATATATATATAGTTAAATTCTATATATATGCATATTTTACATCAGCCTTCATATTTTTCATCTCGGTTATAATCCCATGGACTTCCCACCACCAGTTCTCCCATGTGCCATTTCCACAGTCCCATGCACTTTCTTGCCCCAGTTTTGGACCTATTCCCCTTTCCACCCCCATAGAAAGTCTCTGGCTTATAGCTGTTTGTTGATTTTCATTTTTACTTTGTTACAATTGCTTATTATTATTATTTTTCCTGATTCCTTACATCCCTGCTATGAGTAAAACCATCTGGTATTTCTCTTTTTCTTCCTGGCTTATTTCACTAAGCATGATCCCTTCCTGCTCTATTCATGTTGTTACAAATGGGATGAGTTTATCTTTTTTGATTGCTGAGTAATAGTATGTTGAATACTTGTGCCACATCTTCTTGATCCAGTTATCTATTTTTGGGTTGATTACACATCTTTCTTATTGTAAACAGTGCAGCAGTAAACATAGGTATGCAGGTGTCCTTTTGCATTGATGTTAAAAATGTTTTTGTGTCCTTTGGGCAGATACCTAGGAGTGAAATTGTTGGATCATATGAAAGCTCCATTTTTAGCAGATTGAGAAACCTACAGGATGCATTTTTTGAGTTATTTCATTTATAAAGTTATCTTTGCCTATTGCTTTTGGCAGGTAGTAGGGGAGGGTTTTTTTCTTTCTTTCTTTTTTTACTAGTAGTAGTTTGATTTCTTAATGATTAATGGTCTACTCAGTATTTCTAATTCTTCTTAGGTCAACATTGCTATGTAATATTCTCCTAGAAAATGCAGAGGGACATTTTTCTCTCCCCCCTCCATCCCTTACTTGGGGAACATTTAGCAATGTGTGGAGACATTTTGGGTTGTCACAAATGGGCTGGGTGCTACTGCCAGGTCATGGGTAGAAGCCACAAACACTGCTATGTAACATACAATACAGGAGAGTCCCCCACCATGGGATTACTCAGCACCAAATGTGAAAGCACCAGACTCAGAACTTAGCTGTGTCTCTCTGTCTTGCTTTACTTTCTTCTTCCCATTTCTATCTAAAACAATCTTCTCTTTATTTGTTCAATTTGTTTTGTTGTATCTGACTGCATCTGTAAGGCTGTCCCCTCTGGGAAAGCTGAGGTTCAGTTTATCTTGTTTGTTATTGTACCACTAGTGCTTAGAACAGCACTCCCAGTGTTAGTGCTTCATCATATGCCTGATTGAATGAATAAAAAAGAAAGTGAAATTTTCCCAACATTATATGCCTTTAATAAACTGATAACTTCTGGTGTTTGCTGCTTCCTTTTCAGGAGAGATGTGCTACATTTGCTTTGGAAGTAGCTTAGTCAGATGTGCTAGATTCAGCGTGGAAGGGTCTTTTTTTATAATTCAGGCTGCTGTAGTAAATTATTATAGACTGGATGGCTTCCAAATAACAGAAATTTATTTCTCACAGACCTATAGACTGGAAGTCCGAGATCAGGTTGCCAGTGGCAGGTCTAGATAGGACCTGTGTCTAGGATGCAGACTACTTCGCATTACAATATCCTCACATGGCACGGTGAGAATTCCCTGAGGTCTCATGTGAAGGGACCAGTCCCATTCACAAGGGTTGTACATGGTGATCTCATTTAATCTTGGTTACTTCTCCAATTTCCTACCTTCTGATACTATCACTTGGGGACAAGTGTATGTGGGTGGGTAGGATAAATATTGGGAGAGGCACCAATATTCAGTTCTTAACAGAGATGTGAATTTCTTTGCTAATATAGGAAAATTCATCTTTTTCTTTCTTTTGAAATTTGAGATTTTTAGTTTTCTTGTTGTTGTGTTCATTACAGTTCA